TGCTGGGTTTGGGGTTTGTGTTGGGTTTGGGGTTTGTGTTCTGTTTGGGGCTGATGCTGGGTTTGGGGTTTGTGTTCTGTTTGGGGTTAATGTTCTGTTTGGGGTTTGTGTTCTGTTTGGGGTTTGTGTTCTGTTTGGGGTTTGTGTTCCGTTTGGGGTTGGTGCTGGGTTTGGGGTTTGTGTTCTGTTTGAGGTTTGTGTTTTGTTTGGGGTTGGTGCTCTGTTTGGGGTTTGTGTTCTGTTTGGGGTTTGTGTTCTTTTTGGGGTTGGTGCTGGTTTGGGGTTGGTGCTGGGTTTGGGGTTTGTGTTGGGTTTGGGGTTTGTGTTGGGTTTGGGGTTTGTGTTCTGTTTGGGGTTTATGTTCTGTTTGCGGTTTGTGTTCTGTTTGGGGTTTGTGTTCTGTTTGGGGTTTGTGCTGGGTTTGGAGTTTGTGTTCCGTTTGGGGTTTGTGTTCTGTTTGGGGTTGGTGCTGGGTTTGGGGTTTGTCCTGGGTTTGGAGTTTGTGTTCTGTTTGGGGTTTGTGTTCTGTTTGGGGTTGGTGCTGGGTTTGGGGTTTGTCCTGGGTTTGGAGTTTGTGTTCCGTTTGGGGCTGGTGCTGGGTTTGGGGTTTGTCCTGGGTTTGGAGTTTGTGTTCTGTTTGGGGTTTGTGTTCTGTTTGGGGTTGGTGCTGTGTTTGGGGTTTGTGTTGGGTTTGGGGATTATGTTCTGTTTGGGTTTGTGCTCTGTTTGGGGTTGGTGCTGGGTTTGGGGTTTGTGTTCTGTTTGGGGTTTGTGCTCAGTTTGGGGTTTGTGTTCCGTTTGGGGTTTGTGCTCAGTTTGGGGTTTGTGTTCCGTTTAGGGTTTGTGCTCTGTTTCAGGTTTGTGTTCTGTTTGGGTTTTGTGCTCAGTTTGGAGTTTGTGATCTGTTTGGCGTCTGTGCTCTGTTTGGGGTTTGTGCTCTGTTTGGGGTTTGTGTTCTGTTTGGGGTTTGTTTTCTGTTTGATGATGCTGCTGTTGGTGTTTGTTTGCCTTGTTTTATATATATTTGTAAAGAACTGTTATTCCTTTTCCAATTTCTTTGCCCAAAAGCCCTGTAATTTCAAAGTTATAATAACTTGGAGGGTTCCCACCTTCCTTGGCAGACACCTGTCTTTTAAACCAAGATAACATGGTACGGTGATTTGGGAAGACAAACAGCATCACTCCACACATCCCCATCTTCCTCCTTCTTCCACCCAGATTTACATGCTGAGCATGATGCCATAAGGTCTGGAATATCCAGCTGGGGTCACCTGTCCTGGGTGTGTCCCCTCCCAACTTCCCATGCACTCCCAGCCTTCTTCCCAGTGCACCCATAAAAGGGGCAGGGAAGGCTTTGGCTCTGTGAAAGTTCTGTTAGCAATAACAAAAAACTTTCTAGATTAGCAACCCTGTATTCAGCACAAATCCAAAACACATTCATGCCAGCCACTGCCTGGAAGAAAATTAACTCTACCCTGGCCAAAACCAATACACCTATATAACCTGAAATTTTATTCAAGTTGGTGATAGAACAGATATACATTAATATTTTTTTATCAATTTTAATCCTCTGACTTTTATTTGGAATACAGTACTAGTTACAGATATTCTGCCACATGGAAGGGAGTTTTCAATTTTCCCTTCATGGATTTTAAAGCATCTTTAGATTCTCCCAGCATTGACAATTTCTCCCATCTTACTAGACTTAGGTAGGATTTCTTCTTTTTCTCATGCTCATCCTGATTATATATATGTTTATTGCTTCATTCACAGCCATTTTCAACTCATATTTTAAGCCTAAAACAGGATTTTTCAACTCTCAAGATGCTGAAAACCATAATTTGATTAAACAGCCATATTTTATATGAATAAATCAGAAGCAAAAGGAAGTGCATGCCCAAGCTTCTCTGTATCCTGACTGCTGAGTCTGGACCACATGTGCATGTGGTCAGGAATGAGCCCAGGCACCACTGCCCCTGCCATAAGCACCCCGAGGCTCTTACACTGACTCACAATGAATGAAGGTGTTGATAAAGTGAACTGAGAAAGTATTTTTCAGCTCTTAGGGCACTCCTCTGGGTCTGGGAAACTGCAGATGTGAAACTTGACCTACCACTTCCTGGAGATTCTCTTAGCAGCAGATGGCCCCTTCTCCCTCTTGGACCTCTGGTTTACCTGCCTGAGCATGGGATCTTCTCCCACTGCTCAGAGAGAGGAACCCTTTCCCTGTGAGACCGTGGGGTTCCTCCCACAGGAGACAGCTCTCTGTGAACTTCTCCAGCGTGGCTCCAATCCCACGAGCAGCAGTCCTCCCAAAATTGCTGTGGCGTGGGTCCCTCTTCCACGGGGTGCAGCCCTCCAAGGACAGGCTGCTCCAGCCTGGAAGCAAAAGTCCTCTCTGTCCCCTGGGTCTCCCACAGGATCACAGCCTCCTCCAGCATCCACCTGCTCCAGCATGGGCACCTTCCCCAGGGGCTGGGGGTGAATCTCTGCATCCCCCGTGGATCTCTGAATCCCCCAATGGATTCTCCATGGGCTGGGGGTGGATTCTCTGCATCCCCCGTGGATCCCCATGGGCTGGGGGTGGATCTCTGCATCCCCCATGGATCCCCATGGGCTGGGGGTGGATCTCTGCTTCCCCCGTGGATCCCCAGGGGCTGGGGGTGGATCTCTGCATCCCCCGTGGATCCCCAGGGCTGGGGGTGGATCTCTGCATCCCCCGTGGATCCCCATGGGCTGGGGGTGGATTCTCTGCATCCCCCGTGGATCCCCATGGGCTGGGGGTGGATCTCTGAATCCCCCATGGATCCCCAGGGCTGGGGGTGGATCTCTGCTTCCCCTATGGATCTCTGCATCCCCCATGGATCCCCAGGGCTGGGGGTGGATCTCTGTATCCCCCATGGATCCCCATGGGCTGGGGGTGGATCTCTGCTTCCCCTGTGGATCCCTAGGGGCTGCAGGGTCACAGCTGTCTCACCATGGTCTCACCCTGGTCTCACCATGTCTGCAGAGGAATCTTGGCTCTGGCCCCTGCAGCACCTCCTGCCCCTCCTTCCCCACTGACCTCGGTGTTCCCCTCACATGTTCTCAGCTTCTCCTCTTCTCTGGCTAGAAAAAGCTGTGTCCCCCATTATTTTAATTTTCTTCTTCAATCTGTTACCACAGAGATGTCGCCAACCTCAGTCACTGGCCCAGCCTTGGCCAGCAGCATGTCCATCCTCAGAGCCAGCAGGGACTGGCCCTGCCAGATATGGTGGAAGTTTCCAGCAGCTTCCCACAGAAGCCATCTCCATGGCCACCCTGGGTACCAAAAACCAGGCTGTGCAAAACCAACACACTGCTGAACTGCAGAAGTAGGTCCACAGCACAGGTAGCCACAAGTTCCAGGGGGAAGGAGTTCAGTTTGCTTTCTGTGAAAACTGAACTTCAGACTCCGAGGCTTCCTGGTGAAAACAGCCTTCAGCTGTATCTTGGTGGCTTCAGCAGCAGTTTTGGCTTACTTGCCAGAGCTCAGCATTCTGTACCTGGCTAACATAAATCATACACGTACTCTGCCCTGATGCCTGTGAAGATTCACCTCCTCAGGGAGACCAGGGTGTTACCAAACCCATGAAAGTACAGGGACAAGTCTGGTGATTGCTGCTACTGCCACAACTGCATGGCCAGAGACTCCTCCCACCAGGGAAGATTCTGTTTGCACCTGTCTAGAAGCAGCTCAATTGCTGGTCAGACTTTCAGAGAAGTCTCTTCAGGCTTTCCCCTTCCGGTTCCACCTACCCAACGGATGTGAAAAAAGATCACAGAAACCTGCCATCAAATGGAGCAAAATGACTTCTGGACATCAGGACAAGGAGATCTCTGCTCAGAGACCATTAGTTGTGGGCAAAAATCCACTCACCGTAGGCTACAAAAGAGAGACAAGTGTGTGTCTGGGGACACTGGGGCAAGGAGGCTGGCAGCAGTGTGAAGTACACTTGTGAAGGCCATGGAGTGTCAGAATAAAGAGAAAATACATCAGCGTGTCTCCACAGGGGTGAGAGGGAGAGGAAAGAAAACAAGCAGACAACTCCAAAGTGCTGTCTGGTGAAATGTGTTGAGTTCCAGAGGACAACAGAGCTTTGCAGAGGTAGGGACAGTATATTTTACCTGCTCAAGTGTCCTCCTGAAGTCAGGCTTGAATTTATTACTTTGTATTCTCTTCTTTCAGGGTTGCAACTACACACTACAGATATTCCAGGCTCTTCTCTGAATCATGACAACTGTTCCCGTCCTGTAATGGCCTGCTGGGCATTCAGACAGGAAATTATGGGAGCTGGTGCCACGTGAACATTAGAAGGGTGTTAGAAACAACACGTCAGGGAGAGTGAGCAGGCCAGCAGTGATCAGTCCTCCAAGAAACACCAAGGAGGGCAGTGCCAGGAAAGAAGAGGCAGCGGGAGTGGGGTGGGGAGGGTGTGACGGGACAAGAGGCACCGAAGAGGGGACGCGGGGACCGGAGGCACCGTGGGACGGGCGAGACAGGATGAGGCACCGTGGGGGCTGTCGGTGAGGAAGGGGGCTGAGCAGGGAGCTCCGGGCCTAGCGGCGGCTCCGCGGCCGCGGGCGGAGCGGAGGCGGCGCCGGGCGCGCTCGGGTTCGTTGTAGTAACGGCCGCGATGGCGGCGCGGCCGCCGCTGCCCGACTCGGTGCTGGTGCGGGTCTTGGCGCTGCTGCCGCTGCGGGACCGGCTGCGAGCGGCCAGGTAGGGTCTGCCCGGGCGGGACCGGCCGCCTGGCGGTTCCCCGCCCCGGCGCTGACCGCCGATCGCCTCCCCGCAGGGTCTGCCGGCGGTGGCAGCAGCTGGCGCAGGACCGAGCGGTGTGGACACATGTGGATCTGAGCCCTCACCGGGTACGGGCCGCCCGTCCGCACCGGGCCGGGCCGCGGGGAGAGCTCCCCGGGCAGGAGGGATGGGGGGAGGCGGGGTCACCCCGCCGTGCACGGAGTGACCGCGGGTCCCCGCTGCAGGGACGGCTGAGGGAACGGCGGGGAACCGCCCCCTGCCACAGGGGCCCTGGCCCGCCGCAGCCCTGGCACGGCGCCCTTTCGCCCCCAGATCAGCCGCCGCACGCTGTGGCACCTGGTGCGGCACCGCCTCCCGGACAGCCTCTGCACGCTGCGGCTGCGGGGCGCGCCGCGCTCCCGCGGCAAGCAGCGGCTCCTCTCGCCGGCGCTGCTGGCCGCCCTTCGGGAGCGCTGCCCCCAGCTGCACCGGCTGTGCCTGACCGAGACCGACCTCCGCCATGTCCCGTACGAGAGCATGCCCGCCTCTGTCACCACGCTGGAGCTGAGCCTTTGCGACATCCCCGATGCCTGGTTCTGCGTTTCCCCTTCGGTGCCACCACCGCAGGTACAACACCTGGCTATCCACAGCATTCCCACCTTTTCTGACAGTCATCTTCTTGACATTTCCTCACAGAGCCACTTGAAGGCACTGAGCCTTTGTGGCACCTACCGTGTCACTGATACGGGGATCCAAGCAGCAGCTCCACACCTGGAAGAGCTTGAGCGCCTGACTCTGCGGCACTGCATCATTGGTGATGCTGCCTTGGTGTTCATCGGGCGCCACATGAAGCAGCTCCGCTACCTGGAAATCAGCAATGCCTACTTCCTGACAAACAGGGGGCTGGTTGCTATTGTGGCGCTGGAGCGCCTGGAGACCCTGTGCCTTGACCTCTATGATTTGGTCTCCCTTGGTACTGTTATCGCTTTGTTGCAAGTGCTGCCTCGCCTGAACCACCTCAAATTAGGTGGAACTTGCTTTGAAGATGAGCTCCTCAGTAAAATTCAGGAGAATTTTCCACATTGCACCATATCTCACAGCCTGTGACAGCCTGAAGTGCTATTCTTCCTTAGTACACCTGAAGTGCTCCTTTTTTTATTTTTTTGAAAAGGCCGTTTTCCTGTAGCTTTGGGACAGAATTCCCGTTGGCCTTAAAATATTACAGTTTTTTCACATAAATACAGAGCTTGTCATGTAAATAAGGTTTTTAACAAGCTTTTGGTAGGATTCCCCCTCCTTGTTTTCCATGTATCAGAGGAATAGGGAAGCTGGGAAGCACACCCAGCCTTTGGGAACCCCACTGACCAAAAACTGGGGTGATGACAAGTTTAAGCTCTGTCTTCTCCTCTTTCTCCACTGCCGAAGGTTAGGCAGCAGCTTAATGAGTGCAGAATTCAAGGAGTGAAGTGAAGCACCAGTCTGTTACGGAAAAAACAGACCTGGCAGCCAAAACCTCACAATTACTAATTCCTTCTCTTTTCCTTCAAATTCAGATCTTCAAGTCACTTGTCAGACTGGTCATGTGGATCCCTGAACACCTGGTCCCAAGAGCCAGACATCCCGTTTGCCCCCAGGCATTGCTGGGGCTGCTGTTACCTCTGGTTTTGCTGGTAACATCCACGTTTTCTTATCACCTTTTATTGTCTGTGCTCACATCCTCTTCCTCCGCCATCCCCCAGTATCCTAACACCAGATAACCACCTAAATGTTATGTTGTTATTCTTAATTTTCAGTCGATATTTTTGAGCAAATATTGTATTTATTTTAAAAAACTTGCAAGCTTCTAATTTTCATTTGAATCCTTGTTTCTTAGGACTTGGGGTTTTTTTTAGTTTTAACCTGCTTCAGCATCTCTCCTGCCCCTTAGGCCAGCCTTCCTTGTGACAAGAGCATCCCACAGGAAACAGAGTGGGACAATTTAAGCTTCAGCTGAGCCTTTTCTGCCCTGTTTTCATCCCAAACAGCCCCTGCCCTCCATTCAGCTGCAGCACATGCAATAATTCTTTGGGTTTCAGACAGTCCTGGATGGCAGTGACCCTCCCTGGGGTGAAATTCTCATTGCTGTCAGGCAGCCTTTGTACCCTTGCCTTTTTTTTTTGTTCTTAAACCCACTCTCAGGGTAGCTTCAGGGCAAATACCCAAAGGTAAAACGTTGCAGCTCTGCCTTGGAAAGCATCCCAAGGCTGCTGACTTAGTAACTACCACTCTGCGTTTATCCCAGACAAGGAGATTAACACTGGTGGAATCAGCCTTATTAAAACCTCCAGCATTCCCTGTTCCAGCACTCTCTGAGATGGGGAGGGACAGTACAACAGGAAAAGGGAAACTCAAAACCAGTAAAAATCCATCAGCCAGTCAAGGCACAGTGAGAGGCAGCAAGAACCTCAATGTTTTCCTGATCTTTGCAGCGGGATTTTTGCAATCCTGAGGCACAACAACAGAATATCCCCACAGTCACAACATGCCAGTTTTCCATTCACTAACTGCTGAACAGGGAACAGCAATTACAAATTGATATGGTGCAAAGTGGAGTGTTTTAGGTTTGAAAACAGGAGGGGAGCTGTAAATATTGGATTACTATGGATAAATTATGGGAATAAACAACTGAAAGGTCTTTAATCAGCAGTTCTGGTTCTGCTCACCCTCCCCACATACCTGCTTGAAGCTCTTTGGAGGGCTGTTCTTGACCTTTATTTCTTCTGATTTCCAAATTCAAGGGGTTTCTACTCAGTTCATCTCCATTTCTTCTTTTGCTGACTTGAGCGTTTCTTCCCCCAGCCCCACCTTCTCAGTGACAAATATATCACACATCATTACATCAAAGCCCAAATGTTTTAAAAAAATACATAATAAATGTCCAACAGAGACAGCTAAACCTTCAGCAAAGCTAGGACACGAAACTGGTCCTAGCATCCTGAGAGAAGCAGCAGTCCACAGCCCTCAAAGTGAAAGAAAACTCAGAGAAACCACAAAATCTGAGGTTATCAATCATTGCTGCAATGACCAAGTGGCTCCTTTGCCTCTTCACACACCAGCTTACACACATGTACCACGATTTCATACATGTGTATATTTAATATTCATACCCAGGTGTTTTAGCAGATCCAAATCCGTTTTATTTTCTCAGCCAAGTGCATCTGCATGTGCCTGGGAGCCTGAAGGATGCCGATGGCACACAGAGTTGAGGAGGAAGGTGCTGACAGCAGGGTGTGTGCGTGCACTGGCCGTTTTGGCCAGCAACAGCTTTCTCAGCTGGCACTTCTGTGAGCTACACTTTTGCCCGTGGTTTTCAAGTTTGTAGCTGGACTCCATGAGGCAGAAAAAAATTTATTAGCACAGAGGAGTCCGTTTTGAGTGTGGTGCAAACGGGAGTTTGCTCTTGGAAGGGGAAGGTCGGTGAAATCTTTCTGTCCCGACACAGATTATTTGAGAGCAGTGACGTTTTGAACTTGGATCTGCATTTTGGGTGGTTTACAGCTAGAAAAGATGAATTTCATTCTTTTGCAAGTCCACACCGCCATCGTGCGGTGTGCTTTGTGAGCGCTGACAGTGCCCAGGGAAAAGTCACGCCCTTTCTCTCCTGGCGCTGTTAGTGTGGGAACGGTTGGTGTAGGGGTTTCGTTGGGGATCCTGAATCTTCGAGACTGAAAGAATATCATCCTGCATGTAGCTGGGAAGGAAGACGAATCGTCTCACCGTTGGCTGGGCAGTTTATAGGCTGCAAAAGAAAAGCAAAGAGCACGGATTCTTTTTCCCCTAGAACCTTTTCCAGGGGACCAAGTGCTGAACGTTTTTAGTTTTGTAACTGGACTCTGCAAGGGGAAAGGGAAGGCCAGTGCTTTTTTGTTTTAGGACCTACAGTAGGAGAATCATTGCTGGACATGTTAAGTTTTGAAGCTGGGTTTTGGAGATTGAAAGAATGTGATGGTACATGCAGCTAAGCAGGAAAATTCATGACTCCAGAGTGTGGTTGCTTTTCACAGGATGCAAGTTAAATGTTGAGACAGTAACAGCTTGCTCAACCAGTGCTGGTCTGCACCTTCCCCCTGCCTCATGTGAGCCACACCAAACACATTGGTGCAATATTGTAGTTTTCTTCTCAGCTTTCTACCACAGTATTTGCTGAATCTTGGAGTCTAAAGCTAAAAGGAATTGTTTCAACATAAATCTCGAATAGGAACCTGTTCCAGCACAGATAGGGTTCACTGACCTTCTCCCTTACAGCAGATAACCAGAATTTGGAAGTCAATTGTGCAGTCACTCTCTTCTTGGAGCTTTTAAGTTTGCAGACAACCATGGTGCTCTGCAGGTTAATTCTCAGCCTTATGTAGCATCACACACTTGCAGTCTGACATGTAAATTCACTGTGGTGCAGAACAGTGTATCTGCACAGAAGCACACCAGCACATTGCACTTCTGGAGGTGCAAATCAAATTTCCAGCATGGGCTCCTGGATGGGAATTACAGTTAATTTCCACAGGAAGGAAAGCACGTAGGCCCAGTTCTTTAGGTGCAGGTCAGAGGTGACCTAGGGGAGGAAAAGTCCAGGCACACATCTGACCCAGCAGCTTCCGGCTGGGAGAGATCCTTGGATGTACAGGGGCATTCAGAATTTCTGCCATGGACTCCCAGATGAGAATGACAGTGCATTTCCATGGCAAGGAAAGCACACAGCCCCAGTGTTTCAGGTGCACTTGAAAAGTGGCCAAGGGGAGGCCAATGCCAGCCAGACTTGTCTGTGCTGGCAGCTTTAATGTGGGAGTAATCCTTGCATTTTCTTGATTTTTGGGGTTTCATTCCAATTTTTGCCCTTGGGTTCTTGGGGAAAAAAAAAAGGGGTTTTTTTTTCTCTATGGGGGGGAACTCTCAGCTCTCGTGTTTTTGGTGTAGATGAGAGACAGCCCAGGGGAAGTCAAGGCCAGTGGGATCCATATGTCCTGACAACTTCTGTCTGGGAGCAATTCTACAAGTAGACTACAGCATAACACAAAACAGTGTAGGATATCAAGGTACTTATATTAAAGCTAGCAACAGAAACAGTACTGGTTAGGAGTCAAATGTAACTGACCACTGAAAAGATGATAATGTACACAGATTCCTTTCACTTAAGCTTCGAGGGAGTAACTGCAAAGCAGGCAGCCCTGCTCATAGGAAAAACTACACATTTCCAAGCATAGAAAATTTCTGCTTTGTCAAAGTTTGGTGTAGCTTTTATAAAGTGAGGTGTCTGTCAGTCAGAAATTCAGCTTTATATTCCAGATGCCAGACCAGTCTTAATCCCACAGCACCAAAATAACTCAATACAAGACAGCTTGTCCTGTGTGAGTTATCTGACCAGTTAACAAGTAAGAGATAGGCTCTTGTGTGGGGCAGATGTGCTGCTGCAGAGGTGGAGTCCCACTTTCAGCCCTGGGTGCCTGGCTGTGAAGGATGACCCTTTTCTACAGGAAGGAAATCCTGCTGCCCCAGTGTCTGTGGGGCAGCTGAGAGGCCATCCCTAGGAAGCCAAGGATAGTGAGATCTGTCAGTCTGGCAGCTTTTGCCTGGGAGTGATCCTTGGATGTTCAGTTTTGGGAGGCAGAATCCAGATTTCAGCCATGGAGGCCTGGCTACAAGGGACTGCTCCGGTGGTGCAGCGTGTCTGGGCAGTGAGAGGCATCCCCATGGCCCTGCCCGGAATCGCTCTGGGAGGCTGAGCCTGCCCCCATCACCCTTGGCCCTGCCTATCAGTCACTCCGAGTGGATGACTCTAATCTCAATTACGTTTAGCACCGCCTGTCAATCCATCTCCTGTGTTGATCCCCCCCATCATCACTTTTAGTTCTGCCCGTCAATCACTGACAGGCTAATCCCAGGCTTAGAGCTCTTCACAACCGACAGAGCCCTCAGGGACCCCGCGGCCCTGCACAGCCCACATATCCCTCACCGGCACCATCGCACTCACGGCCCTGGCAGGCTCCGCAGCCCGCCCAGAGCCCCCCGTCCCCGCACCGCCCTCAGCCCTCCCGCCCTCAGCGCCCCGCGGCCCTCACGAGCCCCGCGCACGCGCCCCGCGCCTCCCGCCCCCGCGCATGCGCAGCGCTCCGCGGGCTGCGGCCGCGCGTTCCGCCGTGCCCCGGATGTGCCCCTGCCCCGGAACATGGCGGCGCCGGGCTGGGCGGAGGGAGCCTGGTAGCGCCCGGTGCCGTCCCCGCCATGGCGGACCTGGGCCGGCAGCTCCACGAGTACCTCGCCCAGTCCAAGGCTGCTGCTGCTGCCACCGGCCCCAGCGCGGCGCCCGCACCGCCGGCCGCCGGCGGCTCGCAGGAGGAGGCGGGGGACGGCGGCGGGCTGCGGGCCTGGCTGGGGGCGCTGAACGCGCTCCCGGCGGGCGCTCCCCCCGGCGCCACGGTGTGGCCGTGGACGGGAGAGGAGGACCCGTGGCTGCGGGGGCTGTCGCGCTGGCAGCGGCTGGCGGGCAGCGGGCTGTGCGCGCTTCTGGCCGCGCTGTGCTTCGCGCTGGCCGGGCTGTGCGCGCCGCTGCTGCTGCTGCGCGCCCGCAAGTTCGCGCTGCTCTGGTCGCTGGGCTCGCTGTGCGCGCTGGGCGCCGCCGCGCTGCTGCGCGGGCCCGCCCGGCTGCTGCGGGAGCCCGGCCGCGGGGCGCTGCTGTACCTCGGGGCGCTCCTCGGGACGCTGTACGCCGCGCTGGGGCTGCGCAGCACCGCGCTGACGGCGCTGGGCGCCGCCGCGCAGCTCGGCATCGCCGCCGCCGCGCTCCTGGCCGCGCTGCCCGGCGGCGCCGCCGGCCTGCGCCGCCTGGCCGGGCTGCTCCGCGCCGCGCTGTGCGGCCGGGGCAAGGCGCTGCCGCTGTGAGCCCGGCGCAACGGCGGAGGAGCGGCGCGGCCCCGCGGGAGCCCCTCGCACACGGGCCGGGAGCCTCGCGATGTGTTCAGCCGCCTCCGAGACGGGGGACGCCGCTTCTCTTCGCCTCCTCCGCGTCCTGGCACGTTTTCCTCGGTAGCGCCCGAGGAGCAGCGGCAGGGCTGGCAGCCCCGGTGACGCGGAGCTGCAGCGCTGTGTGCGGTGTCAGCCTGCCGAGCCGCCCCGGGCTCGTTACTCGCCTCACCAGGGCTCGGCATCGCTCCACCTCTGGGTGGGGAGCCGCAGCATCGCTCGTGCCTCCAGCCTGGGGCCGTGTGGCTGCTGCACGGCTGCTGCGGAGCGCCGGATCGGAGCCCGTGCGCTGCCCCTGCGGATTCGCCCGGTGCTGAGGAGCAGCTGAGGTGCGCAAGGCTGACGGATGCCGAAACACGAAGATGATTTAGCAAAATGCGATCGAGGCTAGGGGACGACATTGAAAAATTAACTGGTTTTGTGCTGACCCCTACACTATGAACACATACTGTTTTTGCTGTCACCTCAGACCAGTGGTGAATACGAAGACTGTGGCCAATGAACTGCATTTCTCTCTAAAAAGCAGCTTTAAAATAACCATCCAGTAAGTGAAACAAACTTTCCTGGGGCTGTGGATCACAAACACTGCCCATACTTGCAAGGGGTGGGGGTGTTCTGCATGATCGTGAGAGGATGCAAAGTGCAAATGTTGGTTAAGAGCACTGGCGTTTGCAGGTACTGCTGTAAGGGACCAAACTGGGCTTTAAAGTGGGAGCTTCAGCTCTTAGAATTTTACTTTTGTTTATAGATATTGCTCTCTGAACTTGAGCAGGAGTTGCTTACTTGTCCCAGCTCGACCTTCAAAAATAGATTTGCCAGTAACTGGAGCTCTGCTTCAGTGCAGAAACTGAGCTGCCTTAGGAGGGTGCTGAATTCAGGCTGACAGAGCTGGGTTGCTCCAATTTGGGCCAGGTACTGGACAGCTGCAAGGAAATGGGACCATGGGGCCTCACCTGCACAGAGCCCCCGTGAGTATCTCACTGAGCATTTGTGCCTCATGGAGAAAATAAAGCCTGCAATACTTACCTGCTATCACTATTTAGTTTTAATATATTTACCAAATACTTTTCTGAATTAAACTGAAATTGTTAAAGAGGGTGCTTAAGTGTACATAGATTGCTTTAATAAAACTATTTGTGCCCAGTTGTCAGTATAGACATTTCCCTATTGGTCACTTTTTTCCATTAAGAATGTAGATCAGAGCTATCAGAATAGCATTAAATTAGCTCTCTTGTTTTTACAGTTTCAAAGTTACAGTATGTAAAATTAATTTTATTCCTAAAAGCAGTGTAAAATTAAATCTGAGACAACCTCTGAAGTAACAGATAGAGCATAAGAGTCTATGTGCAGCACTGGTAAAATAACATGACCTGAGGAACACAGAAATATATTCCCAGTAAATAACTGTACCCATTTCCCAGTAACAGTGGGTCACACTATCACAGACTGGGAAGCTACTTCTGTCTCTTCTGCTATGCTGTTACCTTCCAAGATTTTGTAGAAACTATATCTAATTATCAAATTTTCTTTTTACTTTTTGAGCATATGATTGTGAAATACTTCAAAACTCCATTGAAAAAGCTGTCCCTTGAAGAGTATTACTTAACATTAAGTACCATAATTGTTTAAAGAACTAACCAATCATCAGAGGAAATAAAAGTTTTCTAGATAATACTGGGTTTTCTCTTGTTACATACACTTTAACTTGTTTTGGTAGAGGACTGTGGTTTAATTAAAGCCTGAAGCTCATCCTGTAATTCATATAGTATTAGACCTCTTTTAGCACCTTAAACATACATCAGGCTTGCTAAATGAAAAGAGAGCAAGCTTTCCTCTTTGCCAATGATGAAATCATTAGTATTTCTCATGAAAACTTCAGGACAAATCCCAGCTCCCAGACATACACCCAAAGGGCCCAAAGTCCTTCAGATAGAGCTAAAAAGCATTTTTTCTCAAGGGACAAACTCAGACATATCAGATACATCTCAGCTGTTTCTAGAGAACTCCTTTAAGACCATTCTCCCTCTCCTGACACCCATGAGAAGGATTTTATAGGCTGACGATCAGTTACAATTTTCAAATGTGATTTGATACACCACAAATTAAAAACCAAGTAGAAAAAGGTACTTGTGACTGAGTGAACCAAGAGAACAGCAGTTAAGCATCTGTGCTTTGATGTCTTTAAGTAAGATGGGACATAGGGCTTGAGCCAGTCTTTGGTAAACCTGACTATGAGAAGATGCAACAGCTGCCATGTGTTGCTGGGTTGCAGGAGCCTCTAGAAATAAGTCTCATCCTGATTATAGCCTGAAATTCAAGGCAGGAGAGAGGGAAGCCTGAAGCAGGAGAGAGGGGGTAGTGATTTTTTATTATATTTTCAATATAGGACCTTCCTGAGGGGTACCTGCAGAGAAGTACTTACGTGGTAACATTTTCACTGAGGCTTTAGGTGTTAAAGGAGCCTTCTGGTAATGTGGTGGCTGGGGATGATTAACAGGAATGATTTGTGGGGAAAACAAACTCATGGTTGGTAAGTAGCTTTATTATGAAATGTGGAAAATAGGAATAACCCCTCCTCCTCATTTCCCTTCTTTAGTAAAATCAGACAACAATATCCTAAAGAAAAGACACTTAAAAAAACTTATAATTGCACTTCAGCAATTACTGCACCAGACTCTGCTGAACACCCATAGCTTTAAACATTGTGTCACACAGCTGCTGTAAAACATATCAATCAAGCTGCTGAACTTTCTTTCTCAGTTTCTATAAACAGATGCTGTTTTGAACAAAAATCTGTGGCTTGCCTAGGTGAAGTGTAGAATGCCAATCTTTGCTGTGATGTCTGTTTTAGGATCCAGGTTATGTAACTCACATTATGTCTTTGACAACTTGTTCTAAACATTATTTCACTCTTTTCTGTTTCAGGATGGCAGACTAGCAAGCAGTGGTGATTGCCTGCATTTTGGAATTTTAACCTCAGCACCACTGTACACACCTGTGGCTAAAGGTGAAAATGAAACTTCTCCATACATGATAAACCAAAACCCTAGGAATCGGCTCTCAGTATTTTAAATGGCTGAGATTTCAGGAGGTAGTACTGTTGCTGCATCTGAAACACAAGTTTGCCTAAATACAACCCTCTGTAGTAATAGGTGAGTAAAGAATCACACACTATTGATTTTTTTTTGTTAATTTTTGCTCAAATTACATTCTGTATTCATACAAAACCAACGTAACTCTTTGACAAACTGTACATATAGAAACAAGTTTCTGTCTGGAGGTGAACTGAAATCTGTGGAGATGCTCCATGTTCCACAACACTTAAAAGAAATTCCAGCTCTTGACAAAATAAGAAAGTGAGGGGAATAGGAGTGGAAAGAACAAAACAAAGGTAGCTACAATATTGCAGCTAGAGGCAAATGACTGATTCAGGAAAATAAAGACCCCTGTTAGGAACTAATGCACATTCAGTTATCCCAGTTAAGAGTCCAGGTTCGTGGCATTGCAGGTGAGTCCAGAGTAGCAGTCTATTTAAATATTGTCCCACAAGGACTGGGCATGACCCAGTCAAAGCCTCTTCTATCGGCCTCGTCCACCCCGAGATCCTCCTCTCCGGGACTGGCCAGAGTTCATGTTATTTCCTCGTCCCCAATTGCTGCTGCTCCTTCCTCCTCGAGAAGGGTTTGCCCCAGGGCCTCCACCAAAGGCTTCATCCCTGTGGAATCCATCGTGGTGGTCTCCATCTAGAGAACTGGACCTCCCAGATTTCGGCGCTCTCTGTGAAGGTCCTGAATTTCCTCGTCCTGCAAAGGAAGCACAAGCAGTTACTGGAGTAAGTTTCAGCTGAGTCTCTTCTCAGACATGGCAGATACTGAGCTGGTTCTACTGTGGTGTCATCATTCATAAACCAGCTCTAGCTGAGACCTGCAATTTTATGTCTCCTCCCTCAGTAGAATTTTCTTATGCAGATTTAATGTCTCCATTACAGTTCAGAAAATGGACAACCATCAAGCAATTCCTTGGGAATTAAAGGAGCTTATATTTGATACTGTCAGCAGTTACTGAAATGAAGTCAGAATAGTGATAGCTTTTCCTCCAAACTGCCAGTTCTTGTGCTTCACACTGGGGCTCTCTGTTTTGATTGCAAAATACTATTTTAAAATTCAAAATGGAGACATAGCAGTGTTAACAAATTGAGACAGTCGAGGTTGATGGTGAACATCATGAGTAACATTACTGTTTTGTTCCATTTTTTTTCTAAAAATAATGGGAAAATGCTTTGTTTCACTACTAACTGGAACAAGAAGTACTCAAGTTCTAACTTCCAGGAATAGAATTTTCTAATTCTCACATACCTTTTTGGTTTTGATATGTTTGATATAAACAACAAAAAAACCCAACCCAATTTATTAGCCTAAAATAAGAAGCAGTATTGTGAGAAAACAAAATCAGTGCTTGTTTTTAGGACACATACTACAGCTAAATTCATGTATTTTTGCTGCACTTTAGCAGGAGTGATTGTTCCATGTAAAACAGTCACCAAACTGTTTCACAGAAACATTAATGAAGTTTTAATCTTCAAAGAATTTTACCAATACAACTGAAGGTGACATAGCCCCCGTATGAAGAAGTATTGTTCATGGTTTGGCAGGCTTTCTGCCATCATTCTACACTTCCTTTAGCATATTATGAGTTAAATACCACACTTCTGCCTGGACAACAATTGTTTTGAGTTTAATGAAGAATCTGATAGAGTTATTACAATCATTACTGAAGCTGGAAAAGGAATCCTTACAGATTTGATAGATGCTGGCTAAATTGAGAACTACAGCATGTGGATATGGAAGGAAAAATACTGGTAGAGAAGTTTATCAACAGAGTTTCATTCAAAACATCTGTGAAGAAATGATAAAACCTGGGACTAGAGTCCATGCAGAGGAGGAGTGACAAGCAGTTAAAACTGAATGAGCTTTGGGACAGTGGTGAGAGAAATGGGCTGGGATTCAGTGTTCAGTGGCATCAGAGACAAAGTTGTGCAGTCTAACAGCAACAAATTCAGCTGCAGGCTGCCAGCTCAGCATCAGGAAGCAAAAGAGGACATTTGTCACTGATCACTACCTGACAGTGAGTAGTCAATGTAAGGACATTAAAGAAAGACAGTATTTACACAAGAGACCAGAAGTCCTGAGATCTGTAAGAAACAGGATCAAGAACTGGTGTGATGCTAACAGCAATGACTCCAAAAGAATGTGTTCTGTGGGTTACAGTAGCATGGGACCACTTAGAGGGAACTACACCACCAGGGACTATTAGGAAAGAATAGAGAAAGTGGAAGAAATACAAGAGAACTGTAGAAACCCATGGCTGCACCACATCTTAAATAGTGTGTGCAATTCCTACTTACCTCATTTAATTTAGAAAAGGATAATTTAAAACTCAGAATAGCATATAGAAAGTAACAAGGCTAGTGGAAGAGACAGAACAATTTCTAGAAAGAATAAAGAAATCAGAGCTCTGACTTGGAGAACAGCTCGTTCAGGCTGGAAGTGGTGGAGTTCAGTGCAGAGGTGGCATTCAGTAATAACAGGGACCAACATTCAACTTAATTACAGCACAAGACATCAAATAAAATTAGTGAATGATAAGCATAGATCAAGGGGAAAACATCCCTACTTTTTTTTTTAAGTACAGTCTACTGCAATTAAGTTTTAGAGATCTGTCCATGGATGTTGTGTATACCAAAAGTTTATATGATTCTTAAAGCAATTAGAGATGTACACAAAAGGTAACTAGAAAGCCATTAAAAATAAAAATAATGTTTTAGTAAGTCAGATCTTCAGAGGTGTAGAGAGCACTTCAGGGATATATCACTCCAGGGTCAATATTCTTATATTTGAGTTAAAGAACTCAAATATAATGCTCTTATATTTGAGTTAAAGAATAGTTGTTTATTAATATTAATAAATATTAATATTAGTATTAATATTTATTATATTAATAAACAACTATTCTGAAAATTATGGGAAAATGCTCTTAATGAGTTTTGCAGCTGAGTAACAGGGAACCGAAAACCAACTACTTTTGAACAGGGCAATAAAGAAGGGGATTCTGCATGCTGGAGATAAGATCTGGATTTGATGTTTTGAAAATCCCTCTGTTCTTATGTTCCTGTAAGACTGGTCTTTAACTTCCCAGCTGGTAAAATCAGATATTTACCACCTCAGCTTTATCCCCTCTGAACAGAGAAGTTCTGGATACACTGAATACTGAAAATACATGCCAGTGTTACTTAAGGGTTCCAATCAAAGGGGTTTTTTACCTTTGCCCCTCTCCTCTGGAGGTCCACCTGGAGCATCCATGTCTCTGTGGTCAGAGGTTCCCGGTCCATCGTGCCAGGGGCGTTTCCGTGGTGGCAGTGAGGCCATATCCATGCCCTGGAGTGAAGAGGAACGTTCTCTGTTGGCTGGAGAGTGCCCATCATGAGGAGGGTGATCTGGACGAGGACCTGTGCACGAAAACAAAGGATAAGTAATGTTTATTGGATCATTATTCCTCATTTTTGAAGGCAGCCACATAAATTTACAAACTGCCCACAGTGTTTGGCACACAGTTTGAAGTTAAAATTATGTAAAGCTTCTCCTCTGTCTCGTTTCCTAGTAAAAAAGCTAGAGGTCAAACAGATTCTAAAGATGATGGGAAAAAAAAAGTGTGGCAGATGGAAAAAATGTAAAGTGTTCTTTCCCGTATTTTAAAGACAATCACACCTTCATTCATTTTTGCTTTGTTTTCCTTGGCATTTTACAGCTCTGTCTTGTCCCATATGGGTTTGCCTTTAGTAAGACAACTGCAAATATAAGCTGTTAGACATTGCAGCTGGAAAGATACCAACACAGAAAAAGATTACTGTTGGCATTAATAAACCTAGTAAAAAAAAACTCCATGACATGTGATTTAGTCATCCAGAGGTGACAAAACTGCCTGGGCACTTCTGGACTGTACAACACAACCGAAAATCAAGGCTTTGAGGCTACAATCACTTTTATTCAATAAGACAGCTGTATAGTTTTCCCTAAGTTCTGTATAGTTAAATTCTGTATAGTTCTTTTTTCCTAAATTTAAAAGACCAAAGAACTGCATTGGACTTTTTTCATGGTAAAATTCAGGTAGCGAACATGTGAGGTACAGGAAAAAGGCATGATTTTTAAAATATTTTTTTTAAGTTATTATATTGTAGAAGTCTACAAGCCTCACCAAATTTTTTACCTGGTTCTCTGTTTCCATCCCAGGATTCTGGTTTCCTCCCTCCTTCAAAGCGTGGGAATTCATCTGGAGTAGGAAGCAAACCCTTCCGAGCTCCTGAGCAGTAAGAGAAGCAGGGGACAGGAGTGAGAAGAGACATTGCATTCATGCGAATGATGTCGTCTCTCCAAGAAATGCCTTTCCTTCCTCATCCTTGCATTTCTGTGTGGAAGAGCATTCCCCTTACCTCTCAGAGCACCTCGACCTCGTCCCCGAGCACCATGGTCCCTTCCTCTGGAGTTTTCATCTGGAGAGTCAAAAGCATCATCTGGCCCAAAATCTTCAGGGCCAGGAAAGCCATCTCTGCCCCTGGGTCCCCGGCCCTCGTGTCTTGAGGGTCCTCCTCTTCGGAAGCTACAACAAAGAACATTATACAAACGTGGTTTTTAGGCATAATTGAGTCAGCTTCAGTTTAATTATCAACTCATTTCTAAACTGTTTCATTTAATGCTACAGCACATACAGTTACTAAAACAGGATTTGTAGGTGGGAAAGTGCCCATTTTTGCCTTTGAGCACTTTGATAGTAAGCTTTGTAATCTTCCTCTCACATTTCCTTCCACTGATTATGTTGGCTTTTCATACAAGAAAAATATTATTAAACACACTGCATTCATTTAATGAAAAGGTGGGAAGAACAACTGATGAGTGATGATAGATACAAGGTGAGGTAAGGCAAGGTATAAGTGAGTTTCCCTTAACTCTGATGGTCTTACATTCCCCTTCCCTTTTTTCCTTTCCATTTCCATCATAAAACAAACTGAAAACATAGAAGCGATGAGAGTCATGGCTATAACAAAACATTACAGGATCTCATTCCTATTAGTTCTATGATTCTTTTGCCAGACAACTCTCCTTTTCATTCCATTCTTCAAAGTTTACAATTTTAGCAAATGCATCTAGACTGCCCTTGTATGTGTAGGCATAGTGACAGCTGAACAGTGCACAGTGGCATTCTGCAACCTGAAGAGCAGTTTAACCAACTGCAGTAATGAATTTTGTGTTGCAAATTGTGATTATGGCCCTGAAATTGATAATTGCTGTCTATTAAGTACCAAGGGCATCCTCAGGAATTTGCTACAATTGGGTTCTGCACTGCATCTTAGTGAGTGCAGCCTCCTCCAGCACTGCACTGGGGGCTGGGACAGCTCTTCAGAGGGGAGAATGGCTCTTCATGAGCTGTCAGTGCCATGCCAGGTAAGCCTGCAGCTGGCTGTGTGAATAACTAGCAGTTCTGTTCCTGGCACAAGCAGTTCAAACACCTGAAGGGTTTGCAAAGCTCAGCCCTGCCCTGTGAGGATGCCTGTCTATCACAGCTCAGCTGAGGTGGCACAGGCACACTGCTGTCCCCACTGTGCCACCCACGCTACTCTGCCCACCCTCAGTGACAGCACACGGTGTGGAGCTCTCCTTGCCCAGTCACAGGTGCCTCCCACCTCCCCAGTGTTCCCAGTTCCACTCTGGCTGAACTGGAAGCATCACAGTATTCCCATGGTGTTGGCTGTGTGCAGCATCCCCTTCCCCAGCTCATTAAAGACACAGTGCATCCTATTACAAGCAAAACTTTAGATACTTTTATTTAGAATTTTAACAACATTAACCTTTTAATTACAAATTTAAATATTTTAACAGTAGTCATAACACAATACAATATTTTTAAACTTTTACATTGTTTTTAATAAAAAACAATAGGTCTGTCTCCACCTCCCAGAAAACAAACACAATACAGAGAGGAGGCTGCTGTGCCTGTACAGGTACAGCAGTGGATGGAGGAGTGCTTTGTATGGACCATGAACCATTTACATTAACCTGGATGGTTTGGGAAAACAAACTCAACAGTTTCAGGTACAAATGGTTCAAATAATCACAGAGCAGTATTGTTTAGCCTTGAAACAGCACAGTCCTCTAGAGGTTTCTTAGAGGGCCTCCTGCTTTAATACTGATATGGTGTGATTCGACTTAGCTTGGAAATTACCAAGATTTTCAACACGAGGTCCCAGGGCTGCAGGAACAGGGCCTTTCCTATTTCAGGCAACTTATGGACACAGCTGAGTTTTGGAATCTACGATACCTGTGCCTGACACAGCCACAGCTCCTAATATTGTGTTATGGATATCCTTATTTGCCTTTTCATATCAGTCACACATAAAACCCTGCCTTGCATCGGGTTCCGTTCCTGTTTGACTGCTCTCACATCTTCTTCCCCGAGGCCTAGGACCTTACTGTACACAACTACACACTGTGCAGATTTAGCAGGCAGGAAGAGGCAGGTCTCTGCAGTAGAAGCATCATGTTGATATAGAGTAAGAACAGGACAGGGATGAAAAGGATGGGAAATTAGAGAGAAACACACATACACACATTTGCCTCTCATGCTTGATCAAACCAGTTACAATCTCAATTTCAAACCAAGTCAGCTAAAGGAGTGGTTGGGATTAAGTCCACCACAGCATCTGCAGTAAATGGCACCTAGTTCACCTTCATTTCAAGAAAATCATCAAATGTACAAGCACAGTGAGCCTTTTAGAGCCCTGTGCCATTTCATTTCAAACTCTCTGGGCAAACACTTGTACTCTGATAAATAGAACACTCTTAGTTCAAAAGTCAGATTTACAGGTCACAAGGTTCTTGTTTCCCTTCCTGAAACTTTTTAAAGATCAGGACCATAATAAAATATTTGCCAGTCCCTAAGCATTTTCAATGTAAGATCTGAAAAATCTCTACTGAGCTTCTGAAAGTCTTGTCTGCTGTGTCTTTTAGAGTTCTGTGATGCAGACCATTGGACCACTTGACCATCCAACTGGATTTTCTCTGGCTTTACTTTTTAAAAATGGCTTTAATTGTTACCTTCTTTAAGTTACTGTTCATTTCTTTTCATACTCTTCACATAAAAGGAAGTTACATCTTACAGAGCTAGGTAGAAAATAGCTAAAAGAAGAGCTGTATAGATGCAAAGTAAAAGGAATGTAAGAAAATGATTAAAAAGGCAACTAAAACACACAAAATTCACATTATGTGGAGACCACAGCATATTGGTAACAAGCACATGTTCTTATACATAGAGACTTGGTGGTCAGTGAGAGGCTTAGACCATGGAGGCCAAATTTCATTTAATTAAACTAACATAAATCTGGAGCAATTTTGCTGATAATTCATTTCAGAGACAGCATTAATTCCTCCATATTTACATTGGTAACTAAAAGCAAATTTATCCCTTTGCGATTTATTCAGAGATTGTGAGCAATGACAAGGACATTGCTGTAAATCAGATTATTTTTGAGTTCTTTGCTTGGCATTAAGAAATAAGTCAAAAAGAGGAATAAAATTTCTACAAGCAAACGCATGAAAAAATAGTCTCAACAGTCCAACAGATGCTGTAAGTCTGTCCCTTCTGTCTGGCAGTCACATCACTGTTCCTGCTCCTTACGAGGGCATTGCATCTCATCCTACAGTCTCTACAGTCATGCTGTAGTTTGTGACTGGAGACAGAATCTCAAAATCCACTTCTAGGGTTCAAAAGTTTGTCACTTTAACCTTTAAGTCTCCTCTCAATTTTCATCAAAACGGTCTCAGATCTTCATCCTGTGTCACTGGATCTTCTCTACAAACTTTCCCCCTTCTCTTTACTTACTGTTTAAAGACACGGAAGCTGCTGTGTACAATGACCATTTTTCAAGTTTTCTTCTATTACTGAATGATTTTTATGGACTCTACACTCAGGTATATTAGAGTTTTCATTTCCTTATTGGTTTCCAGTTTATAAATCTGAAACAGATAGACTCCTTAATGAAAAGGAAACCAGGAATAAAAGAGTTCCCTCCATTTACCCTTTAACCCAAGAAAGAGAAGTGGATTTATTCTTACCTCTCGTCTCGCCTTCCTCGGAAGCGCGCATCCTCGGGATCCCGTGGGTATCTGTCATCTGAAGGTCTCCGTCCTTCCCAAGCACCAGGAGGCCCCCGGTTGGAACCACCTCCTTCAAATTCCCTGTGATCAGGAGGAAAGGGAGGCCCAGGTCCACCTCGTCTCCATTTCTCATCTTGCAATGGTGGGCCTCCTCTCCCCTCAAACTCCCGCAGTCGATGGCCAAATCTCTTGTCTGGGTGGAAATCATCCCGGAAGTCGTCGGGCCGGTCGAAGTCATCGTGGAAATCGGGGTGAGGTCCCCGTCTGTCGGGCATGCCCCTGCTGTCCCTGCCGTCACTCCAGTCCTGCCCCCCTCGGAACAGGCCCCTCTCGGGCCCGTGCTCGGGGCCGCCGCTGTTCTGCTCGTGCCGCCGGTCCGACAGCGGGCCCAGGTGATGGTTGGGTGGCCCACGGGCATCACCTTGAGGGACAACAAAAATCACAGCAGGTTTCTGTAACCGTTTCTACATCACTTCAGGATGCTCTAGTTCATAGAGTTCTAGAAAGTATATAGGATACATTTCACATGAAACAGTATTTCCGGGAAAATTTTTCCTGTATATCCCAGCCCACACCTATGGAAGCTTTTCTGTCAGCCAAGGCCTTGCACTGTGCTCCAGCCATTTCTCCCAGGCTGCACTGCACTGGGACAGCCCCTCTTGGAGGAGACTGACTCCCAGGAGAACAGACAATATGTTAATTACCTTTATTAAGACCAGGTCCTTGGTTGTGAGGGCCCAGACGACCTTGTCCTCCTTGCTGCCCCAGGCCTGGTATCAGCGGAGGAGGACCCGGGTTCTGTCCGTCCTGTGAGCATGGAAGAACAAAAGCCACATGAATTGCCATGTGTGAGTAATTAAAAATTTTTGTAGGAGTGCAAAACAATTTTCTTTCCATAAGGTCTACATCTGCACAGGTTGTACAACAGAAACAGCTCATGTTCCAATGGTTTCAGCCTCACATCAGTGGTTTCAGACAATCACATGGGTAATGCTTCAGTCACTGAGAAACACCATTTCATAAGAGACAGCTCTGCAGGTATTCATATTTTATCTGTCACAGCCAAAGAAGATAAAGCTCATATTCTTCCTGAGTATGAATATTCTGTAAGAATGTATTGAATTTATTGAGTATTTGATACAAATATTCTGTTCCTTTGGAGGAACAGAGGAATTTTCCTAAGGGAAATGTGTAAATTTGTTTGAAAATTATTATGTAATGTCCGATTTACAGGCAGTTAAAGAGCTTCACAGACCAAAGACTTCTTTGTTCATTTGGAAATGAACAGAAAAGAGAAACTATATATACAAAAATAAGTACTAAGAATGTTGGGATGAGGGGACAACAATAGGGCCATAAGGAATCCTCTTCTCTAAACACCTGTAAGTTGCTAACATGAGTTTCATTTTAAACATGATGGCAAAGTTCATTTTTCTCCATTTTAGGATTAAAAAAAGCAGAGGCAGTACAGTAGGCAGAGTTTTGTGTGCTTTATGTGATCCCAAAGAAAAAAATAAAGTATGTACGTGCCTTTTTGGTATTTTTTCCTCTTTTTTTTTTTTTTTTTTTTTTTTTTTTTTTTTTTTTTTTTTTTTTTTTTTTTTTTTTTTTTTTTTTTTTTTTTTTTTTTTTTTTGGTGAATTTTAAAGGATAAATTAATGCTCTTTAAATTCAGCTGCTGTCACAGACTCATGAAAGATTTTGACAGGTACCAAAACTACAGGACCTGCTGTGGTGACACTGGTTGGAAAACTGTTCAGATGATGCTCTGATTCTGCCTTTCAACAGCACAGGCCTGACAAAAAGTCCTCATTTGGGGTTTGTGCTGGACTGGAACTGAAAAGTGACATGTAGAGAATTTACACTGCAGATATAAAATCTAACAATAAAAATATGAACCAGAGACCTGGAACCTGCAGGATTGCTATACAAAACCTTCCTACGCTGACATGACCAAAAAGCCAATCCCCCACAAACCCTTACTAGAAACCCCTAAAAATATAATTTCTTCCTAGATATGTCCAGTATAAAAGATTTAGACTTGGCCTTCACACCGACTTGTTAAAACCCTTTCAGCCTGCAGTCTGGAAATACTTAAAGACCTGTACTCCAGCACACCCCTGGGTCGTAATTACACTGCTTAACTTCTCCAGGAATCAAATAATTTTAATGCTCTAAATTAATTTTGAGAAACACTACCTTTTTGTTTCTGGTTGCAGAGAAGCAGAAAGTTTATTTGTGCATTTACCTCATCATATCTTGAAATATCGCTTTAAATTAAAAATTTATATTCAACTGCAATGTAGGTGATAAACACAAGAAAGCACACAAATATGTACTATAAACTGTATTTGCATCAAGTAATTTTGTAAGCATGTTGGAAAAATAAGCAAAATAAAAGATCTGGCTTAGTGTCCATTAAAAAAAAAAATCCAAAAACCAAAATCCCCAAAAATACTTTTCTTATGATGGAATGTTGACTGGAGTCCAGAACAAATCCATCCTCTGACTAGGTCGAGCCAGCTATCACAGTGATTCTGCTGTTCCTGAGCAAAACCTTGCTGGAGTTCCAGGATTTCCCATCTATTTAGCAGATGCTTACTTAAAGTAATTTTTATGGAACTTCTTCCATTTATTTAACCAAACCAGCAGTTTTTAGCACACAGTAAATAACTCTCCTTAGCAGAAACCTTGCTTACAAACAAACCATGCTTTGCCAACTGGGAACACAGAGCTCTAACTCTGCATTTTCATGGGATTTTTGTTTCAAAATTCATTCCAGGCCTCAAACTGGGATTGAGCTGGAAAATATGCAGAGTTTAGAAAGAGGTACTTTACTAAAAGCTGAAAATGGCCTTCTGCATTTCAGCAAATCCAGCGTAGAGCCAGGGCAGGTAACAGCAATATCTTATGTGGAGATTAAGCCTTGCAATTATCTATAATTGTTCTGTGTTAATGCCACAAACCCTTGTTAAAGCAGATATTCACACACCTCTGCTACTGAAAAGGAAGACAAGTGATTTGTACAAGTTTACAGAAGAAAAAAGCCAAATCCAGAACACAAAACAAACTCAAGTCTATTGTTAAAAAAAATGATATATGGGGTCTTTTTAAACAGGAACTACAGTTATATTCATATTACAAAGAAGCAAAATGGAGCAGAACCTGACATTATGATTTTTAAAATACATTAATTTTTAAAAGCCATTACCATACTAAAGATGCACAAGGAAGGAAGAATGGGTTAAAATACCTTACTGTGTCATTTTTTTAGTGTCTGTAAAAACCTTTAAGATAGCAACATTCAAAGAAAATAACCAGCCACCTATCAAAAGCACCCTAGTGAATTCCAAAGTGTCAGTGGCAAGAGCAGACAAGGACAGCTCTCCACAAACAAGGCAATTACTCTCAAAAGGAAAATTAATTTCCCTGGGGTAGCAATGAGGAACAACTCTGCTGGTTTAAGTTATATAGTTGGGGAACCAACACTGGTTTGTGTAACTTTGATATTTGTGAAATCTCAGCAGCAGTAGCACATTAACAGCCTTCTGGAGGGAATAATTCATTTGTAAAGAAAAAATATTCAAATAAACCCGCAACTTGTGGGCTACTCTGCTTCAATCTGAAAATGAGTCTCTGAGCTAAAGCTCATTTGAATGTTCAGTTCCTCATTGTGATTGGTACTGGACTACACATTAAGTACTCTACGTGTCTAAAGCCTTGACTGAAATTACTGAGTGCAGGTCTAAAAGAGACAATTCTGGTTAAAAAACACCACACATTTTCTTTTTTCAATTAAGTACAGTTGTTTTTTTCCCCCAAACTTCCCTTTCAAAATTCACCTAGAACTGAAGACACTTGAGACAAAGTAAGAACTGGTGCTATCCAGCTAGGAATTGATGGGAGGCAATAACCACAGAGAGCTCTGTGTGATGTGTAGTAGGGCAGAAAATGGAAAGTGCTGTGTCTCTCTGCACTTAAGAGTCAACTGTTAAGTGCAACCAGACCTAAGCTGGTTCGAGGTGTGTCAGCATCTATGGTAAATCCATCCCACAGTTTGGATTAACTACTCTGGACAACTGAGAGTTGGCAATATCTTGCTTTAATACATACATGTGACTTTTCTTCTGTTTAGTTTCTTAACATTTGACTTTTATTAATGCTTGTCTGCTCCCCATGAAATATCTTGCTTAAGACAGTTCAGTGTCTTTAAATATAAAAAAAAAAAAGAAAAAGAAAAAAAAAAAGTACTTTCTCTTAAGGTTACATATTTTCACAGCAGACTGGTTTTTGTACTACTGTTCCCAACAATCCCATTTCCAGTTACCTGTCATAGAATCATGATTACTTTGGGTTGAAAGTGACCTTAAAGATCACCTATTTCCAATGCCCCTGCCATGGGCAGGGACACCTTGTGCTGTTCCCCAGCTATAGAACCCTTTTAATCATCACTTCAGCTTTCCTGAGGTCTCAGCAAGGAATACCCAATGTCCATTCTCTCAGCTCCTGCTGTGCACCTCTCTTGCACAGACAGTTACCATTCCCACCTTCTGAGAACTCCCCTTGTTCCAAAGACCCCCACGTACCTGATTGAAGGGGGGACGAGGCCCATCACCCAACAGAGGCGTTTTCTGCTGCTGGAAGGGCAGAGGGCCCTGGGAAGGGTGCGGCCCCCTGGAAGGGTTTGGCTGTCCCTGAGGTCCTTGCATGTTTCCTTGAGGCCCCACCAAAGAGCCTTGTGGAGGTCCCTGCTGGCCCTGGGGACCAGGTGGCCCACGCATTTCTTGTGGCGGTCCCAGCATTGAACCTTGAGGTGGGGGTCCCTGAAGGCCCCGCATCTCCTGGGGACCGTGTCCTAGTAAACCACTTTGCATATGAGGACCTCTCATTTCTTGTGGATGACCCATCATCATCCCTTGTGGATTAGGTCCCTGGTTATCTCTGGGTCCTGGTGGACCCTGCATGCCTCTCGGATTAAGTCCCATCAAAGGCCCTTGGGATATAGGGCCCTGCATGCCTTGAGATCCCGGGGCTCCTTGCATGCCGTGGGGAAGAGGTCCTTGCATTCCTCGTGGGCCGGGTGGCCCCTGCATTCCTTGACCTCCAGGGGGACCCTGAGGACCCAGGTGACCTTGTGGGCCAGGTGGGCCCTGTGGTCCTAAATGAGCCTGAGACCCGGGCAGGCCCTGCGGTCCCAAGTGTCCCTGAGGGCCAGCGTTACCCTGGGGACCTGGGGGCCCCATCGGCCCGTGAGGGCCCGGATGTCTCTGCATTCCTTGATGTCCATGTAAATCCTGAGGCCGTGGCATTCCTTGTGGAGGCCCTTGGGGGCCTGGAGGTCCTTGTGGTCCCATGAACCCTTGTGGACCTCCAGCTCCTTGGTGTAATGGACCTTGAGGTCCCATTTGTCCTTGGGGTCCCGGAGGTCTGAACTGTCCTTGTGGACCGGGGGGTCCCATCTGAGGCATATTCATTGGCATCTGCTGAGGTGGAAGGGGCTGCTGAAACCCTTGAGGCATCTGTGACATCGGGCCTTGCCCTGGGAAAGGCTGAGGTCCATGGAGAGATCCTCCTGGGGGCGGTGGCTGCACTTGCTCAGCTTGCTTTTGTGCAAGTCTCTCAATTTTCAGTTGCTGTCCAAAAAAGAGAGACAGAAAATCAACTAAGCACAGAAGTACGTTACAAGTAAAAATCATAAGCAGTCCTTCAATTTCACAGGAATTTAAGAATGCTTCCCTTGTAACAAACAGAAATCACCAACTGAAGAGACCCACTGGTAAAGTGAGATGTGGGGGCGTCCCTGAGGGATTCACATCATCACATATTAACTGCAATATCCTGTCCAATGAGATGTCTTTTTGTAAAAAGTGAAAACAGCCAAATAGGTCAAACTGCTGCAGGAAGCTGCTCACTTTAGTGCTTAAGTCCAAATCCGCCCCAGAAAGAGCTAAAGCAAACTTGTTAATCCCTGTGTTTCCACACGTACCTCCAGGAGTTGTGGGTTTGTGTACTGAAGTGCTGCCATTTCCTGCTCAATCTCTGCCTGTGATTTCTTTTTCTCCTCCAGCTTAATATCCTCCTTTCTATCATTCAATGGCTCAGGTGGGGGAGGCAAAGGAACTTTATTTTGCATCCATGCCTACAAAGATCAGGAAACACAAGATTAATTCTGTAGAACAACATGTGTGCAACATATTGCTGCAATGAGAAAGAATATGCTGAAACATTTTGTAGTATGGATACTTGAAAGTAAAAACAATGCTGAATAAAATTTCCTCGTCTTCTAAATTGTTCCCAGGTACAGATACAACATAGAAGGTAGTTAATAAAATAGTTTGTGTTTAAATAGCAATCCAACTAGCTACTGTGGTAAATTGCATGGGGTGTTGATACAGGAGAGCTGTAAAATCCAAAACATTTCAAAAGACACAAACCTTTTGAAGCTGAGAAAAAAACAAGTTGTTCTGTTCACTGTATCAGGTACTTACCTGCTGAAACTGTGCTGGTATTGGTTTTGCATAGGGAACTTTTTTCTGTGGCACTTTCTTTTGGTCCTTTTGCATTACTTCCTCCATTCCCCAGTCCAGTCCTGGGATTGTCATTTCAATGTCATTGGACTCATCTTTCCCTTTGGCACCAGGGAAACAAACAGTCAGAGCAATGCAGGCTTACACAAAGATCCTTTATTTTTTCACAGAGGCTTTCAGATCATCCTTTTTTACACAGCAAATATGCACAACACAGAACTTTAGAAAAGAGCATCTGTGCTCCCAAAGAATATGAAAATAATTAAAAAGAAGTCACACAGTATCTGTATTGCTCAGGAGAATGCTTTTCCATAGCTATTACTTACCCATCTGCTCCTGCTCCATAGCTATTTTCAACTGCTCAGGTATTCCCATCCCAGGAATAACTGCCAGGCTGTTGGGCTCCAGATCATCTAGAGAGAAAAACAACAAATATTTATACTTGGAAAATATTTCTTTACATTACTATTTCATCCCTTTGGATTCTCACATGCTTTTACCATTAGTATCATATTCCAATAGTAAATAGATATTTTACAACTGGTAGGTCACAATTTAGTTTCATACATGAATTACAGGATATTCAAAGAACTGCAAGTTCAGATTCATAAATACACCCCAAAAGGTCAAAAATTATGTCCTTTCAGGAAGGTTACATTTAAGGCAGAAGCTTAGAAAAAGAAATAACAACCATAATAAATCCCATTTTTGTTATAACAAATCTGTATATTTTAAAATTTAACTTGTATTAAAGTGCTGCATTTTATATCCCCCCTTAAAAAAAAAAAAAAAAAAAAACAAAAATTTAAAAACCCCCCCAAAAAAAAAAAAAAAAACAAAACAACCCAAAAAACCAAAAAAAACCAAAACAAATAATCAAAAATCTGAAGACACAGATCCAACTACAGGTGGCTGAGGCACACCATTGAGCTGGGATAAATCCTTAAGAGTAAAGTTTAAAGGTTTTAGTGGAATTCTTGTTGCTTTTCCTGTTGTAGTTCAGGACTGTGGGAAGCCTTGAAGACAGATGAAGTCTTCAGGAAGAAAAGTAAACTGGAGATATTGCCAGAGGGAGAGCCAAAACGTCTTCCTGTGATTGACAGAGCAGGTCTTACCTCCTGGAGCTGTGGAAACAGAAGAAAACCCATTGTTGGAATGATGATCACTGATAATAAGGGCAGTAAAATCATCCTTACAAAAAGGTATTTTTGCCTATGTGGTCCCCAATGCTATAATTCTGCTTCCTCACCTTACCCAGAAGTGTCACCTAATGATCTAGGCCTGTTCCTGACCCCAATGCTCTTACTTCCCTATTGAGGAAAAATGCCTCACCATATTCCACACCATCCTCTGACATCCCAGGCAGCAGGTTCAAGTTGTAACGATCTCTCATTTTATCTCCAGGCCGATTTCTAGTCCAAAACTTGCTGTCAAAAGGAATTTACATTATCTCATTAAAGGGTCAAGAGCATTAACAACTTCTAATCTAATTAGTTCTTTGATTTTTAGTATAAGATCTTGATTATGGAAGGATTCAACTCTTACTAAATCAAGTTTAGCTCTAGACCTGAACACAGGGTATGAGCTTCAAGCCAAAAATAAAAAACCCAAAAAATATTGTAGTGAATTACATGGTGGAAAGTTAGAGGATACTTCAAAGTGCAATGAATGTTAATTACAAGGGATCAACATCAGATCATGAAAAAAAGAATATTTCTAGTCCATCCAAAAACTTCTTGCTCAAGTATATTCTTCATATACACTAAATGTACACATGCCTCTGCAAAAATGTACTGCATTTATAAAATAAATTATGTTTATAGCATGTCCAACCTAAAAACACAAACTACAGCCTTTGAATGTGTCTGCAATATGAAAATACATGACCAGCAGATGATCTGCAGGAAAAATTGCTGTGAAGATATGAGTATTTCTTCAGCAAGAAAATACATAAATTATTTTTTTTAAACTTTTCTTCAGTGAATTTAAAAACTCCCACCAACCAAAATCATAATATTTGTTACAAGAGGTCAAATTCTACCTTGTAATATAAAATGTCACCTAGTGCTTCGTATTAACATAAATTGTGTCTCTGCTTTGGCCACTGGTTGTGTGGCCAGAACCATCCCAATCTATTTATTCACTGATGCCAAACACTGTTCTGGTTTCTAAAAATAAATACACTCTCTTAGACCTTCTCTTTAAATACTTGAAATTACCTGGTGTGATCATTTGATCCTGAACACAGAATGTGTCCGAGGGGATGCCATGCCAGACTCCAGATCATTCCTTCATGGGCCATTTCCATCCCACCAACCTCCTTCTCAACCCTGATGCATAAAAAAAAAATAATCACACACAGCTGAGTATCTCCTACAGCTACAAGAGAAAACTTCTGCTATTCAGCTGTTGTTCATCCTCTATCCCATATTTTGTCAAATTTAAGCCTCTGTAATTTTTCTACTGGATTAACTGATTGTTCCCTGTGGTTTTAATAGGCAGTTCAGTAATGTAGGGATTTTTAACTGTACATTTAAAACCAAAATAATTCCAGCACCTCAGAACAAGCTTTAAGAGATTCATCACCATCTCAACACGTGACTGGTTTTGTGCAAGCAATCGTATCCTTTAAAGCACATTTCTACAGGAAAACATCTTCATAAATGAAGCATATTAACAAATTCCTCAGGTACAGAGAAAAACTATTATCATAAATATGCAGGTTAAATATGGTCTCAAAGGGGAAAAGAGGTATTTTGTGTTTTGTCACAGCTGACCAACACCTTTCCAACATGCTGATGAAAATGCCACGTACCCAACATGCCAGAAAAGCAAGGAGCCATCAGACCCTCCACTGGCAAACAGCCCTTCATGAACAGGATGCCAGGCCACAGCTGAAACACACAGTAAGCCACGATCACCAGGTGTAATACTAAGATTTCTAATGAATGGAAATAAATTTAATTTTAAATCAAAGCTTAATAATAACAATCTCCATAACAAAAAAAAATTCTAACCTGTGGCCTCTTTCTTATGCCCCCTGAAGACCTGAAGTTCTTCCTTCAGGTTCCGGATGTCGAAGAGCTTGCAGAGGTGGTCACGAGAAGCTGTCAGCAGCCAGTTGCCATTGAGATTCAGTTTCACCTCCATCACTGTGTTTTTGTGAGCATGTCTGCAAGCAGAGAGAAACAAACAGATTGTTTGTCCTGAAGCTGATTTCTCAAACACAGATAAAAATGTGTCATTTGCCAGTCACAAATATTCAGGTCAATAACAAGGCAGTTCAGGCTACTAAAGCAGAACTGGGGCTTTCTGTGCAAAGGCCCCGTGCTTTGATTCTGGTCTTTTGTAAAGCAACTGGGAGCACTCACTGACACAGTATCCAGTTATTGTGCACGTTTCTGCTGCAGCATAACAAAGTTTTTATCAGCCAGATGAAACATCTCGTTTGTTATTCCCTACCTCAGTCTGTATAAGAACTGTGTGGCTAGATTTTCTGTGAAGAAGAACAAAGTAAATTTAAATAATGAATGTTAAAGTCTCAATTTTCCAGGTACAGACTTGTCCTCATCTAATCATTTTCTGGCACAGGTGAAGCACTAGCTTCATGTGTGAAGCAACTGTGTATGGCTGAAAAGTTGTGAGGAAAAGGACTATAGAAGGGAATTAAGAAAAGATTATTTTATAAAGTTAGTTTATATTTGAGCAAATCAAAAGTCCGTGGGTAAGAACTTACAGTGTGGCAAGGCTCTGGCCAGTCTTTGGATCCCAGAACTTGATGGGCTGTTGGCTATCTTTGCTTCCTGAAACAACTAATCCCTTTGTTGGATGCCAGTCAACACATTTCACATCTGCTCCATGGCCTGTTAAAATAAAAATTGTCCATTCTGAGATTTCACAGACACTCAAAAATTATAGGATGCACACCTTATAACTAATTTAAAACTGAATGAAAAACATCACAGAGCACAGATTACAAAACATAAACTAAATAAAATCTCTTCCCAAGTTATTTAGCTTGCCTTTCTTCCCACTAATTAATAGGAGCATTTTCCCCTCAGATTATGCCCTCAAATCAAGCTCACTGGAAAAATTATCTAAGAAACTTCTGTTTAAATTGGTACTTTTCTTTAGCCTTTGGCCTTATACAACTTCACAGTATTTTAAATGTAGCACTGATGAAGCATTTATGTGGAGGTGGAGGAGGTAAAATGATTGTGTGACACTTCAGTTTCAGTGAAAAACTGAGGAAATATAAAGCAAATACCTATTTGTTCCTATCCTATCAGTACTATCCTTTTACTGTCCTGTCACAAAATAAGCAAAGAAATTAAATAATGGATCTGAAAACTAAATTAGTGATGAAAAGAAACCTTATGAGATGTGATCTCTTACCAGTTTACAGGGATTCAGGTTTTTCCAATGCTTAAGTGTTAGCAAAGAAAAACCCCTGTGATACAATTTCTTTTTAAATTGACTGAACTTGAGAGAGAATCAGTGCTGTTCAGATGAGCTAAAATTCATAAAAAAAAAAAAAAAAAAAGCCTGTTCCTGCTGCATGATAAAATGAGGTTTCTGAGGTTAACTATAGGAATGAAATAAGAGGCTGTAATTTCTTTCTCCAATCTCTCTCCACACCAGCCCACTTCAAGAGAGGGCCAACAATAATGTCCATCCCAGAAAATGAGGCAGCATGCAGCAACTGAAGAAAAAAGCAATTTGAGACAGGAAGGTCTGCCTGCAACATGAAGGCACTGAAGTGATAGATGGCATGGAAGAATGGGAGCACACTCCAGGAAAGAGTAAGGATTGCCATCAATCAGACAGCTCCCACACACACTGCTCTGCTACACACTGGAACACATAAGTTTAAGCAGCACAAGCTGCCTTAACTCAGATCTCACTTTGAAAAGACATTAAAAATAACTGTCAGTTGAAATTTTCCTGAGGCCACAGAAAAATCAGATTAGAATTGATGCCCTTCTGAGCCCTGAAATCACAAGCCAAAGATTAAAAGGATCAAGGTGGTTACTGTTCATTGAAGGATCTTTCAGGTGCACTTATGGCAAAATGCACAACAGAATGCACACATGATATTGGGCTATGCGACTTTTGTAAGTTTAGCAAACTACCATAATTGACAAGAATCCCCAGTTAAAAGTACAGTTAATGAAATAATTTCCCCCCTTGGTTCAGCCTCCTACTAAAGCCTCCCCCCTTTCTCCTAGCCCCACATTGTTTATGTCTACATACATGGGGAGGTAGAAGAATGGCCTTGGTTCACTGAAAAAGAAAGATTTGAATGGGATTCCAGGAATGTGTCTGTCTAACAAAGTACTGGAAAAGTACTGAATGCTAGCTAAGAAACCATGGAACTGTACAGTAAGAGTCTACAGAGCTAGGAATATATGAAAAATATATAAAAAAGCAAAAATCTTTTCGCATCAGAATAAGGAATATACTTTATCTTAAAATAGAAGAAAATTCTTAACATGTAGAGCACACTCTCAAGTAAGTTCAACTTTCCTCCTCTCTGGAGGAAAGGACAGACAGGGAAGAGGTTCTTGAGCAAAGAAGAAATGAATCCAGCATTGGCAAATATATGGGAACAACTATAAGAACTGACTGACAATATAGATGAAGGAACCCAATTCCTCCCCAGCCACAGCAGGCAGAATTGTCTTTGGAATATTTGGGGTTTCAGGGATGAGCAAGATCCTCAAGTTGCCAAGACCATCAATGTACTCTGGTGGTCTGGGTTACCAACAGAGAGGCACCCTGAGATGTAGTGTTTCTCTCTGGCTTTTCTAATGCAGAGAGAAGTGACAGGCACTGTCTGTCTGCATTTGCTATGACTAAACCTCTTGACTAAACCATGAAGCTGAATGCTGAACAAATCTTGCTTCCCAGTGCTTATTTGGAAGCAACAATTCAGCCAGGATTAAGGGAGAAAGTGCTCCTCCTCCACAGGGGAGAGGAATCCATGCTTGCAGATTTCCAGCTAAGGATATTCTGTAGGTAGTTGTTTTCATGCAGTCCCCAGGGAAAGAAAGATTTTAATTCAAGGCCCTTATAAAAAACCACTCAATTAAAGTTAATACTTAGTTGAATCATATGAAAATGTGTTCAGACTAGAATGCTTGAGTATGATCATAGATATGAAATAAAAAACCTGCATAGACTGAAGTGACATTGGCACTGCTGCTCCTGAAATGAAGACAATTAGCAATGGAGAAGCACAGGAAAACACAGGGCTAACTACGCTTGATGGCAAATATTGCATCCAGAAAACAAGTGATGCTTGTGAAAGGCCATCTCTGGGTGACAGCTCATCTTGTGCAAGGCCCTGCTTTAGGCTCTTCTTGAGTTAAGCCAGCCCAAACACAAATATGTGCCCTGAGAAAGAAAAGGTTTAGAATGGGCAATTTTAAACAGAGTAACTGAAGCACCCACCCTTTCAAAGTCTTCAGAAGGGAGAGGCAGTGACAGCATGGGCTGACTGAGCTGAGAGGCAGAAGATGCCAGGACACTCAGAACTTGTAACCAGGGCAAATAAACCATTGGGTACTTATCAAAATGTTTTTGGCTATCAGCACATTAATACTGTCCATAGAGATCAGAAGAAACTTATAATATTTAAAAACATAATTGTTATAATCTTTGTATGATTGAGCAGGTAACTGGCATTTATTTCCTGCAGAGAGCATTCTTCCAACCAGTGCACTCTGGATTATGGCAGCAGAGGGGAAAGCTGGGACCCTCCTTTGAAATCTAAGCAGTGATGGCTCCTGCCCTCCACAGAGCCATCTCAGCCCCAGCTCTGCAGAAATGGGATCATCACACACTTAGCTTCATTGCATTAGGAAGCTAAAGCTTTCTCAAGAGAAAATAAATTTTTCCCTACTACAACTGTACTTTAAATAAACTATTCACAAGGGACAAACTAACTCAGAACATTCACATAATCAAAATAACTGAATAGCATCATCTAATCAGACCTTGCTTAATTTCTTTTAAAACAGAAGCAATTGATGTTGTATATTGCTTTTCCTTCTTTCTGCTGAGAGATGGGCACACTATTATCTGTAATGAGACACATGATGCAGAAAATACATTTAAAATAACATTCCAGAGGAAAAAGCCACCTCACAGATTTTATTTCACAGTTGTTTTCAGTTCTTAGTATTGGGAATCAGCCTCTCTTCTGGTACAAAACCCCCCTGTCCCCAGACACCAAGCTCAGAAAAACTTAATTCATACAAATCTCTGCCGTTTACATTCCCTGTTTGCTGACAACAGCTTCTGCTCAGTAATTTCAACAGTTATGAACACACTTATCTCCCTCTTTCCTCAGAGCTCCAGGGTGAGAATTCCTCTCTGAACAATTCCTTCTCCTTTGCATGGACCTTATTATCAACTCCCAGTCTTGTAGGGACGCTTTATGGATAAATGAATTGAAATGTGTGAATTGTGTAGGAGTTGTGGCAATAGAAGTCCCCATAAACCAACCAAAATGAAAGACTGAAGGCAAAGATTTTTGAGAAACTCAAGTAATTTAAAATCATGAGTGAAAATCTGAGCATAAACCTACATACAAACACTTGTTGATTTTACTTACTACAAATTTTTCCAACCATTTAACAAAATGTACAGAAAAACAAAGGCAGGCACATATAGTACCTTTGAAAAGCTCAGATACAAAAGCAGTTCCCTACTATTATCTTTCATATGCATAATAAATGCTTTGAGTACCCTTAGTCACTATCTTCTTAATTAAAATCCTGACTGTTAGTACTTCTAGCCAATATCTTTGAAGGGTTGATCTTTAAAAGACACTGAACAGAAATCCTGGCTAGTGAAAGACCTAACAAGCTGTCATAAGATTATGTCTAATGGTATTTGATCAAATCAAGTATGTCAGAAGTCTGAAAAGCACACATATTATAAGGACATTATTTTTCCCCTCCTCACACTAATTTCTGCATTTAGGACTTTCTGAACATAGCTTACAGTGTAAAAAAGCTAGTTTCAATCATTGTCTCTATATTACAGTCTATAAAATATCCATATATTTTACAATGCAACTGTGTATAGCAGTTATAGATATATCAGGTTTATTGCTGTAGCTTAACTGCTCTGTTTTATATTCTTTCCCCATGGGATGTGCCCCATTCTGAATGCACATAAATTTAAAGAGAATTTTATATAGATGATATTAGAAAATTTCTAGATCCTTCTCAGCAACTATGTGAATGTAGACACTTACACTAAGATGCCAGTCTTAAGGCATCTTCACATTTTAACACCCACATTCCAAATAAAATAGGTATTTATAACATTTTATATTTTAAAGAATTAACAATAATTTAACTGCAATGATACTGTTTGTCATTTAGAATTCTATTTGCTTGAATTTTTTTAAATGCTGTTCTAAGAGGGGAGTAAACAGAGTTATGTATCCTGCACCCAGCCTGGTTAGATCAAAGCTTTTTTTGTCACCACACACTGACACTAACCTTCCTGTTGTCTGTGTCCCCAAAACAACACCACACCTCTCAGAGAGCAGGGCCTTGGCACAGGATTACCAAGGGATCTGCAAAGAAATCCTCTAAACATGAACCAAACAAGTATCTTGGAGTCTGCCTATAGCCTGTACCATCAACTTAGGAAAAGCCAAACCAGAAAAAATTAATTTGATAAGAATATAAAGTAATTTGAAGCCTCACACTGATAGTTTATGTCAAAGTAACTATTGAACAGCATTAGATCTTACAAAAACCAAGCTAAGGTACTCCACCCCTAAAAAAGAGTGCAAGGAAGAAGGGACAGAAAAGTGCAAGTCAAAGATAATGGAAACAATGTT